CCTCCTCTGGACATGTCCAAACCACTGTCCCTCCTCTGGACATGTCCAAACCATCTCAGTGTGTCCTCTCTAACTTTATCTCCCAGGTGTTCAACCTGTGCTGTCCCTCTGATGGTCTCATTCCTAATCTTCTCCATCCTTGTCTCTCCTAAGAAGAACCTCAACATCTTCATTTCTGACACTTCCAGTTCTGTCTCCTGTCTTTTTGTCCATGTCTCTGTCTCCAGACCATACAACATAGCTGGTCTCATCACTGTCTTGTAAACTTTCCTTTGACCTTTGCTGACACCCTTTTGTCTCAAATCACTCCTGAAACTTTTCTCCATCACTCCTGGACTCTCTTCTTCACCTCTTTACCACACTCCCCATGTTCCTGGACAGTGGACCCCAAGTCCTTGAAGTCCTGCACTTTTGTGACCTCTGGTCCTTGTTGCCTCACTGTTCCACCTCCTCCCTCTCATCCACACACATGGACTCTGTCTTACTACGACTGACTTTCATTCCTCTTCTGTCAGGTGCATACCTCCACCTCTCCATGTTCTCTTCCACCTGTTCCCTGTTCTCACCACAGATCACAACGTCATCTGCAAACATCATAGTCTACGGGGATTCCTGCCTGACCTCAGCTGTTAGTGGGTCCATCACCAGAAACCAGAAAATAACAGTATTATTTTTTTCTTTATCACAACCCAGCATTAGTTCAAAGAAAAGTCATATTTGTTTCAGGACAGATTGTTTTTTCTTAGTTATAAGTCTCGGCTTTTGCACCCATTTTTTCCCCAGTGATTGTTCAATGTTCACCAGAGGGACGCCAGAGAGGATGCAAACGACAACAAGCTGCCTTTTTTGGACTGTTTGGTTCAGATGGAGAGAGAGGACAGCCTCAACATTGAAGTGTACAGGAAACCAACCCACACAGACCAGTATCTTCTGTTTGACTCCCACCATCCACTGGAACACAAACTCTCTGTCATCAGAACTTTACAACATTGGGCCGAATGCGTCCCCACAAGGACAGAAGGGAAGAAAAAGGAACAGAAACACGTTCAAGAAGCTCTTCAAACATGTGGATATCCTAACTGGGCTTTTGTCAAGTCAGCGAGGAAATCTACAAAACACACTAATAAACAGAAAATCAATCAACCTTTATTTGTACAGGTAAATCCCATTGAGCCTCGAGGACCCATTTACAAGAGAGACCTGATTTCAACAAAGAAAGATGACAACAATGGACAACAGCAACAACAAAACAGTTATAAAAAAGCATACTACAGTTTTTTTTTTTAACAAATAGGATGGCTAAAAGGAAAAAGGTAACAAAACAAAAAACAGCTAGATTCCAAGACAAATGTAGAAAACTAAAAACAGGAACATGTCAGCATTGGTCCCTGCCACGAGTCCAACAGATTCTTAAAGCCACAAAGGTCGAGAGCTTCAGATCTTTTTACAAGATATTCCAGGAAACAGGAGCGGAGTAGGAGAAGGTCCTTTTGTCTAGTTCAGTCCTCACTGAGGGAACACTGCAGGTAATGATGTCCTGAGAGCGCACGCTGTAGCTGCACTCACACAGAGACATGTAGGAGGAGATGTATGAAGGCAGCAGACCAGGAAGTGATTTAAAGATGAAAATGTACCAGTGGGAGAGTCTGTGTGAAGTTAATGATGTCCAGTTAACCAGTGAATACTGGGTGCAGTGGTGGGTACGATAATCACAGCCAGTTATGAATCTTAGTGCACCATGATAGACAGCATCCAACATCTGCAGCATCCAACATCTGCAGGGTTCTTGTAGGAGCGTTCATGTAAATAATATCACCATAACCACCATCACCATAGGAGAACAACAGACGTAAAAACATTGTCATCCCTTATGTTGCTGGAGTATCTGAGAAATTCAGAAGGATCTTCAACAAACACAAGATCCCAGTACATTTCAAACCCAGCAGGACTCTCAGACAGAGGCTGGTCCACCCTAAGGACAGAACACCCACACACAAACAGAGTGGTGTAGTGTATGTGGTCCAGTGCAGCGAGGACTGTCCAGACCTCTACATTGGAGAAACTAAACAGCCTCTTCACAGACGCATGGAGAGCCAGCTCTTCAGGAGAAGACTCAGCTGTTTACCTCCACCTCACAGATAAGGGACACTCTTTTGAGGACCAAAATGTGCACATTTTGGACCGAGAACACAGATGGTTTGAGAGGGGGGTGAAGGAAGCAATTTATGTAAAAAGAGAAGAGCCGTCTCTTAACAGAGGAGGAGGCCTCAGATTTCCACTTTCAAAAACATATAATGCAACTTTAAAGCCCCCAGTATACTGCCGCGTACATCCATACACAGAGGTACAGACGTACGTACGCAGAGGTACGAGCGTACCCCCCAGGGCATGTCCGTGCAAAGCTCAAATTTTTACGACCGCATACTCGTACTCCGTGTCGCACAATAAACTGCCCGGCGACGGACTGTTTTGTATGAGACACCAATGTATTAAATTCCTCTTCTTCATCTCTGATCTGGCCTTTTCTTTTGTTTTGTTGCCAAGAGGCAGAGATCTCTTCCTCCTCCGTTGATGCCATGACTGAAATGGAGAGAAATGAAGGAATTTGTCACGAGCGAATTAAACTCAGGTCCAGCGTGGCTGCGAGAGGTCTGGAGATTTCCTGGTGGGCTGGTCTGATGTGTGGGCTGTAGAGCCAGCGCTCCCTGTTTTTTAATTCATTTTTTAGATCTTTTTATAAACAACAAATAAACACAGAACACCGCTGCAGCTGAGGCTGCCAGCGCTCGTTTTTCCCCCCCGACCTGTCAATCAATCCAGTAGGCGTGTCAGCAAATGACCAATCGGCGACCTCAATTTGTCCCGAAGGTAAACGCCCCTTGTCTGTGAAGCTGCTCTGCAGCTGCTCGGGGTGTACGCTGGAGTACGAAGTCTGAACCCTCTGCGTACAGTACACGCGTACGTACACGTGAACGGACGTACGCAGCAGTATACTGGAGCCTTAAGACAGATTCCCAGCCAGTTTTCACACCTGATGGGAACAGAGGAGCCTCATCTGTGAATTAGAGGAACAAAGACTTTAAGAAAGCCCTACTGTTAAGGTGTGGAGGTGTGACTTGTCAAATCTACATATGTGTGTGTGTCTTATCTCACTCAGCCTTATAACCTGGATCTCTCACTCTCTGCTCTTTGAATTGAGAAAGCTCCTCGGATGAGGAGAGAAACGTCTTCTGTTACAAATAAAGTCCAGTTGTTTTTGTATTGAACACTTTTTGAATTGTTCAATGTCCACTCACCCCAAAATCAGCAGAGAGGATGTTGTAGGTGGTGATGACCACATCCTGAGAGGACAGGAACTTCTTGCTCCTGTTGCGCTCTGAACCATAATACAGATAGATGTTGAGCTTCACGTTAGAATGAACGTGCTGCTCAAACTGGTCCTACTCACCGAGCAGAGACAGAAAGGAGAGTAGGAATTAATACACACACTCGTGTGCTGCTCTACATGTGTAGGTGTGTGTTGTGTTCTCACCAGCCAGTTGCTGAGCACAGACAGAGGACAGATGATGAGAGTAGTTCTTGCAGATAAGTCCTGTGGGTCGTCCATGATGGAGGACTCAACATCTGCACAGGTACAACAGCAGTGAACACAGTTCAGATCTCCTCCTCCTTTTTAACTGAGCGTGAAACTAAGTTAAACTGACTTTGTTTAAGATTGGCCTTTTGTGTAGTTTTCCTCTTCTTTGGGCCTGTTTCTGAGGTGGCGCTGCTCAGTGCTGCAGCAAACTCACAACCTTCAACCACAACTCTGCTGCCTGAGCATGGAGAGAAAGGAGAGGGCATTCACCCGGACTGAAGTCTACTTAGGAAGAATTACATTCTGTCAGTAAAATATCACGGAGCGGTGCTCCACCCAGTAATAAACTGGCTCTTTCAGGAGTTCACTTGTACACAGCTAACTGGGTTTGCACCTTTAGTGGGTTTACGCTTGGTCGGTTTGCTCTTCTTCTTTAACAGATCTGAAAGTCAAAACGTCTCGATTCACAAAGCCACAAAAATGGAGGTTGAACAAAAAATGTACAGAAAATGAAAAGCTGGTATGGTGGAGAAAATCAATTCTTACTTTCTTGTGGCTCGTCCCCCACCACTCCATCTGCTGCATCAGCATCCATCACCTCCTCCTTCATCCTGACCCACAAGACATGAGTCAGTAGAAACGTTAATAAGTCATGCTGCAGAATATAAAAACTGTTAATGGAAATAAACAAGGTGCTTACAGGTCTGAGCACTGAGAGCCACCAGGACCACTCACTGCTGGTTTATAACCTGCTCTGCTGCTCTCTGAAACAAAACCATCACATCAGCACATAAGACAAACCTGCAGGTGCTGAATCAGCATTTACACCATCATCTGTCTGAAATTTAGCTGTTCATATCAAAATGTTCAGCTCATTTAGGGGATGGGGGCCCAGACTGTTGTTTTTTGTAACTCATACTTTTCTAAAAATAGTAAAAAAAAAAAAAGGTTTTTGTTCCATACAAATACAAAAATGTTTTTCTGAAATCTGCTTAGCATACACCTGTTTTACACTAGACCACTCTGTTTGTGTGTGGGTGTTCTGTCCTGAGGGTGGACCAGCCTCTGTCTGAGAGTCCTGCTGGGTTTGAAATGTACTGGGATCTTGTGTTTGTTGAAGATCCTTCTGAATTTCTCTGATACTCCAGCAACATAAGGGATGATGATGTTTTTACATCTGTTGTTGTAGTGTATGTGGTCCAGAGCAGCGAGGACCGTCCAGACCTCTACACTGGAGAAACTAAACAGCCTCTTCACAGACGCATGGAGAGCCAGCTCTTCAGGAGAAGATTCAGCTGTTCACCTCCACCTCACAGATAAGGGACACTCTTTTGAGGACCAAAATGTGCACATTTTGGACCGAGAACACAGATGGTTTGAGAGGGGGGTGAAGGAAGCAATTTATGTAAAAAGAGAAGAGCCGTCTCTTAACAGAGGAGGAGGCCTCAGATTTCCACTTTCAAAAACATATAATGCAACTTTAAAACAGATTCCCAGACGGTTTTCACACCTGATGGGAACAGAGGGGTCTCATCTGTGAATTAGAGGAACAAAGACTTTAAGAAAGCCCTACTGTTAAGGTGTGGAGGTGTAAATGGTAAATGGACTGTACTTATATATCACCTTTCTATCTTATTTCAAGATACTCAAAGCTCTTTACAACAATCTGTGCCTCATTTACCCATCCACACAGCTCTATACTAGATCTCTACAAAGCTAATTGAACAAATCATTCTAAAGAGACTGATCAGTGATTTAGATCACATTCATACACTGATGGGACACACATCAGAGGCTATGAGGGGTTCAGTGTCTTGCCCAGGGACACTTCAGCATGTGACTGCTGGTGGATTCGAACCCCCAACTCTTGCATTGGAGGACGACTGCTGTAACCACTCAGACACAGCCGCCCCGTGGTGTGAATTGTCAAATCTACATATGTGTGTGTGTCTTATCTCACTCAGCCTTTTAACCTGGATCTCTCACTCTCTGCTCTTTGAATTGAGGAAGCTCCTCGGATGAGGAGCGAAACATCTTCTGCTACAAATAAAGTCCAGTTGTTTTTGTATTGAACGCTTTTTGAATTTATCATGTAAGAATGAACGACATCGTCAGATCTCAGCCAAAAATGGGTTATATGATAAATATGAGAAGATAAAAAACAATACATCGCTTCGCTGTACAAGTCGCAGGCACACTAATTTATGCAAAAACTGCAACTTACACAGCAAAAATGACGGTATGTTTTATTTTATTATTATTTCCTCATGTGTTTGCCTAAGCCTGGATTGAAAAATGTAAAATAATAAATGAAAAGTGGAAAGTCAGGGCAGGAAAACATGGGTCAGCAGCAGCAGACATCACCTTCCTGTGTGGAATCTTCCACAGGCTTAGTGTGACCTTCGGCTGGTGAGAAGGCCTCCTCCTGTGCATTTAAAACAACCTCCGTTAAAACACCGGTGTCACCAAACACTCTAAAACAATCTCACACTGCTGCTTACACATTTCTCCACAGGCAGCGGCTTTCCTTTGTGGAAGTTGGTGAGGATGAGCGCAATAGTTGTCAGAGTTTTTCCCTGGAAACAAAGAGCAGGCTGAACATTCGGATCCAACAACACGGCCTGATTATTCTGCACGCTGTGGCGTCTCACCAGTCCCATGTCATCTGCCAGGATTCCTCCACGGACAGTCTCAGGGGTTTCTTTAGCAGAAAAACACGTGAGAGTGTTGAAGTATAGCTCGCCTCTCTTCTCCCAGAATGGAGGCAACACATCTTTGTTTTCTCGAGCACACATCCAGGACAGAGCTTGTTCCTGGTGAGGAAGGAGGGGCGTGGCCACAGCCTACAATAAAAAAATGGCTGGATGGTCATTTGAAAGAAGTTTTTAAATAAATAAAATGATTTATTATGTAAATATTCAACTTTTTTTTATTTATTTAACAAATTATCTCACACTCAAACAGACACGGGCAAAAACATTGTCTGCCGTTGTCTTTCATAAATGGGCGATAAATATTATAGAGAAATCTTTGTTTCGCAGGCGTTTCAACAACAACGAACAAAATGCAACGACTACACGAGGAGCACGAAGAATCAGAAAACAAATCAAATGACCAAGCAAGGCTGAAAAACACCGGACATTTACCTCCGCTGCTGCTTTCTCTCCGTCTTTACTCTCCATCAAACCTTCGAACAAGTTATCAAACGCGTTCTTTAACTGCAAGTTGAAAACAAGAAGAAATTTTAAAACAATTTTAGAAAATGGTTGCAAAAGTATTGACTGTTTATGTAGAGTTTTAACAGGAACATTAATTCAATTCAATTCAAATTCAATTCAAAAATACTTTATTAATCCCAGAGGGAAATTATATGTTGTGGTAACTCATCATCCTGGTTTCATTAAAGAGTTGTTCTAGATGCTGATGGCTGTGGGCAGGAAGGATCTCTTGTAGCGTCTGTCCTACAACGGATCTGAAGAAGCCTCTGACTGAAGACACTCTGTTGTTATATGACAATCTGACGTTGTATGACAGTCTGATGTTGTATGACAGTCTGATGTTGTATGACAGTCTGATGTTGTATGACAGTCTGACGTTGTATGACAGTCTGATGTTGTATGAGAGTCTGTTGTTGTATGAAAGTCTGATGTTGTATGACAGTCTGATGTTGTATGACAGTCTGATGTTGTATGACAGTCTGATGTTGTATGACAGTCTGTTGTT